CTCAAACGCCGGCCAGTCTGGGTCCGTCAAAAGTTCCTCCTCTAGTTGCATAATCTGCGCCTCTGCTTCTCGTCTTTCCTTTTCCCCAGCCCCTTCTTTGGGACCTTTCTCCAAAGCCGAGCTTCCCGACCTGGGCGCATTTTCACTCCCCTTCCGGACGCTCTTCCCGTCCGATGTGAACACCCCCAGGTCCATCTTTCCAATCGCTTTCATTGTCCCGCCCTCCGCAATCGCTGCCAGCCTTTTGAACAGCTGTGACGTCAGCCCGGCCGCAACCTTCCCAGCTCCTGACGTCAGCCCCGCCGTCTGGTTGACCGTCGCCAACACCACGTGGCAGCCGGCGAGCAGGGGCTGAATCACCGGACACTTTTCGGGCAGGTTTGCCAGCAAAGGAACCACCCGGTTGTAGAACCGGGTCGCCGCTTCGTACACCAGAGGGGCGCATTCACACAGCGCAGCGGCCTGCGCCGCGATCAGCAGGCGGTGCGCTTGTTGGAGGCGCTCGAGTTGCGACGGGAGGAGCGAGTGCGGGGTTTGGGCGGGGTTTAGCGCGCGCAGCGGCGCGGGCGCGGCTTCGGACTCCATGAAGAGAACCTGGTTGGCGGGGAAAAGGAAGGTGACGTCAGCGAAATTGGCGTCTGCTTCGAGTGGGACGGCTTGAGGAGGATACTGTCGTTTTCAAAAAAAGAATGGTTGTTGCTTTCTTGCAAAGTGACAATCGGGCTGAATGAAGGGCGTAAAGGTCAGATGCCTCGAAAGTGTTTCCAACTCTTTCAAAAAGGTGCCCACCCTCTACAATAATATCAACTGTTTCGCCCATAAATCAAGCGACTCTGTGGAAGTTTGACAAACAAAGTTCAGATTTTCTTTCAATTCGGTTCCCCTTCTCATTGTCTGTTCGAACACATCGCAAATTAATATGCAGAATCCGCCTCCGCCTTTGTATGCTTTTAGAAGGCTGTCCCAGTGACTCTACGTCTTATTCGATCGACTGCATTTTTATCCTGGGGACCAGATATCTGTCAGGACTCACCTGGACAAAGCTTCTGAGCAGCGTGCTGGGCGCCTCCCGCGCTTCTGTCGCCCTCAGCTGGTCGCCGAAAAGTCGCTCCACCCCGTCTTCATCCACTGCTACCTTCTCCACAAAATGGGCGACCACGGGCCGCGCCGCGAACAGCGCCTCTTTCGGACACCCCAAACGGTGAGCGGTCAGTGCCAAATACGCTTGACACTGTAATCTCGGCAGGGGTAAAGCTAGGGTGACAGGGGCCGTGCTGGGGCCGATGGTGTCAATGAGCGCGCCAGTCGCGTCGTAAAAAGCTAGCGCGAAGATGTAGCGCTCGTTGGGCGTCAGGCCCGTGACGGTGATGACGTCAGACAGGGGCGCGCGCGCGTGCGCGCCTGCAGATGGTGAGTCCGGCAGTAAGTGCACGGTTGCTGGATTTCTTTAAATCGTGACGGAAGCTCTTTTGTCAGTGAATGAAGAGGACTGAGAATGACGACTAGGCGTTGGTAATGAAAGACAAGGGAACAAGAAGCTACGGCAGCAACGCAGTGGATTCAGATGGCTTTAGCGGAGCAGCTTGTGATCAATCTTATCAAACTGGACACTTCGAGAGGTGGGACCGAATGAAAGCTATCGTCCTGAATCCTGAGGTCTGAGTCCTCACACACGGACAACGTTTACTCACAGTCGATTTGCCAAGGATTACGGAATGGAGGTCTTTAATAATAGAAAGAAGAGAAACTAAAGACACGCACCTGTTCCAGGGAAGTCCGTGTTGTGCAGCGAGACCCCCACTCCGCTCCCCGCCACTTTTCCAAACACAGCGTACGCGACCGGCTTTCCGTCCGGCGAGTCCCTTCCGCCGGAGTTCTTTCCGCTCTTCAATCGGGCTGGGAAAGCACTAGCCGGCCGGATAGTCACCGAGACACTCATCCTCGTCAAGATTAGGGGGGCCGGAACGCCCCTGGAACTGCCCCCTTCGCCGCCTGAGCACAGAGGGCGCGCGCTTTCCTCAAGAACGCGCGCGTTTTCAAGCTCTGCTTGTGCCTGCTGGAGGAAGAGCGCGCGGTCGGCTTGGGATGGACGCGTCGCGGCGATCTGCGCGAGCACGAGCGCGCGCTGGTAGGGGTTTGAGTTGCACTCCGCGAGCAGCTCCTTCTCGGCCTGCGGACGTGGATTGGGAGGTATCAAATTTCGATTTCTGACGTTCTGACCCCCGAGAGAGACGGCGAGGTTGTTAGTTGAAGAAACGACGATCTGGGAATCCACCTCGTAAACGTTTAGAGACAACGAACTAGATCGAATGGATGCTTGACCTGCAACTTAAGCAGATTTATTGCTAACTCTCGGGACGAAAGGTTAATGTTTAAGAGAGGTCTCGTGATATGCAAACCCCGAAAACCGCGCCGCTGCAGCCGGTTCGCTTGGGCGAGAAAACCAGGTAGGGAATTGTCTGCGAACACACTTTTCAGGATCAAAGAGAATTCATAACGCAAAGCTGGTATTCTGCCGCCCAATCAGTCAGCCCACGCTTCGCCGTTAAGTCTTCTTCCCACCGAAGCTCGACAATTTTTCGGTCTCCGCCCCTGTACACAACGCCAACGCGTGCTGGCCGCACATCAAAAGTGAAGTGCGATAGTGGGAGCGAAGCGCAAGAGAAAAGCAAAGCCGAGTGCAGCCAAGTGCAAGCGAAGTAAAAGCGCGAAGAAGAAGAAAACGTCATGCAAACCAGTGGCGTGGCCCACCTTCACGGAGAACGGCGGCGGCCGACCGACACGTGTCAGCCTGTCCTGCGCCTCCTTCTTCTCCTTGAGCGTCATCGCACCGAAGATGCTCGACTGCTGCTCGCGCTTCCGCAGCGTGCTCTCCTCGCGGCTCAGCCGCGCGGCCGCCTCTGCGGCCTCCGCGTGCGCGCCCAGCCGCTGCAGAATGCTCGTTTTGGTTACTTCTGATTTTATCAGGTTCGAGCGAGATACCTCTCTTGCATTTCTGGTGCATGATAGAGAGCCGGAGTGGCCTGGCTCGACTTCGCACTTTCGTTTCTGTGGAGCCTAGTCTGACTAGAGCTTGTTTGGACGGTATGCTGAGCTACACTGTGAACGCTTGTTTGTGTCAATGACAATGGTTGGAGGGAGTTTGTCTGGACTTCCTTGGCTAGCACAGTGCCAATCTCGTCCAACAATTATGTGAAGAGAGGTGTGTCCTGCGTCAGGAAAGTCATGACTTCTAAGGTTGGCACTCTCTTTTTAAGTGCTGAGTCCCATGACAGGACGCGAAACCGTGAACGACATCCTCCCGATCGATTTCAAGGGTCCTTTCGACGAACTGTGAGCACTAGCGGCGTACAAACTGGCAAACGTCTGCATATGTTAATGCTGAAAACACATAATATACAGGTACAGAGTCTTTCAGAGAACCGTATCGATAGCCCGCTACTGATCATGCTTTGTTCGACTCACCAGCCGCAGTCGGCAGTACGTCATCAAGAGGTCCACGTGGCAGCTCCTCAGCAGCTTCTGCGCCTCGTCGCCCGGCCCGCCCTCCCGCGCCTCCGCCCAGCTCCGGTCGCTGACGTCATCGTGCGCGCGCACTTCCGTGTCCAGATCCCTGAACCTCTCGACCGCGCGCAGCGCGCCACGTAGCACCTCCAGGGCCCTTTCCAGGTCACGTGCATCCGGGTTCTCCGCCACGGTTCCCGGATGCTTTTGTCTGCTGTCGAGCAGGGACGCAAGACGGAGCGCAATCTGCGCGTGCATGAGCGCGTCGGGGAGTTCCAGCCGCTCGCTGACGTCATGGAGCGTTGCCAGCAGCTCGATCAGCGTCTCGTCGCTTTTCCCTCCTCTCGTGTCCTCCTCTCCAGAAGTCCCGCCGCCTAGTATAGCTGCGCTACCGTCCGGTGTGTCTGAACTTCCATTCGGTGTGAATACGCTCTCTCCGGACCTGGGGACGTCGGACGTTCTACTGGTCAAGTCCGCATCCCGCTTCTCCAACAGATGCTTCACCTCTCCCCACAGCAACAGCGCCGCATCCGTAAGAATCTCGCCGTCCCTAGTTACAAACTCCGCCCCGCACGCCCCAATAGCGATCCCAAGCGCCGCTAAAAGGTCCTGTTCTCCACCTCCCTCCGCTTTCTGCAGATCCCGTACAGCTCGGAGGAGCTTTACCCCTGCAGAAAAAGCCGTCGGCGGCGCTGACGTCACGCGTGCGTCGGCTGCGGCCGCGAGGCTGTCGAAGAGTGGCCAGTCGCCGTAGGTGAACGCCACGTGGAGCAATCGACGGTGGAGGTCGATCGGGAGAAGGGCGTCTGCGGGCCCATTCTGGGACCCCCGGGAAGATGCGCCGCCGCTTTCCGAACTAGGAGTGGCGGGGGCCGCGGCTGACGTCACGATCTCGTCCAGGATCCCCGCCAGCTGGAACACAAAGCGCAGAAGACGTCAGACAAGGCTACACGGTTTGTCTGTGTTGAGCGTAACAAGTGGTGTGACGGAGATGTTATTTCGGCCCTTTGCGTGTTATGGGTTTGGTTTCTCCCACAGTCCGAGCTTAACCGCAGCGAATCTTAGCGACATTCCAACAACTTCGATTTGGTTTACAGAACTGAAAGTCGGCAGCACTCAAAGCGGGGAGAAATACGTGTCCACCGCGCAAAGAGAGCTTCGCGGCGACGCTTGGATTCTTGGAAATGGCACATCACAGTCATACCTCACACACAGATGTCTTACTAATGCTCTACACCCCTAGATTATGGAAAAACCCACTGCTTCACATACAAATGCTGTTATCAAGGCAATGAAACACAGATACAGCAGAATGATGGCACAGCCTAAGACAAAGTACAATGACTCTGAACCTTCTTTTTTCAGACCAGGGCACAGCGTAACGTAGGATTACCTCTAAGGAGCGTTAAGAGATACAATCAGATGAGCGTTTTTCTGCGAGTGCTTACCAAGTTATTGGCACACCCGAGCAGGACCCTCTGATAGCTGGTGGGAGGGACGCCGCCCAGAACCCTTTGCGTCGGATTCTGCAGAGATGATGATATCAACGTCAGTCAAGGACTCAACAACTTTAGCAAGTTTCAGAGGCCAGGAGTCATGACTTGTGGGAGCCAATGCAGCCCACTAGATTTGCGAACGGAACCCGATTCGGGCGTCGAGAAAATGGGGGAAAAAAATGGCTACTGAGGATCGCGCTGCTGTTCAGTCTGCTTGGCGCCTCCGTGATGTGTTGTCAACCGCAGCTCTCAAAAAATTTACGTGAAATGGAATGGCAGCTAGCAATCAACGTGTTGGCTGAATTGGAGCCGTGAGTTTTGGCCGTTTTCTGCTTCTTTTCTATAGAGCCTCGCTCTCTGGTCAAGATGATACCTCAGCCAAAATAAGAAGCCTGTCGAGGTCCCGTCTCAGGTTGCCGTTTGACGTCACCATACGTCACGTGGCAGCACTTTTGCCTCCTCACCTCCAGGGCGAGCGCCAGGGCCAGGATCCGGTCTATCGGTTCCGCGAACGTCTGAGCGAGGTTCTGGGCGACGGATTCGCTGGTGACGGTGCCACTTTGGTCGCCGTATTGGAAGCACGCCAGCTGCATCGTCCTTCTCGCGCTCTGAAAGCAAGGGGAAGGAATATGGTCAATCGCGGTGCATTTCAAATACACCATGCTCGCGTTCTACGGCTGATCCAAAAATGAGTGGTATGGCTTTGACCACTCTCAGCTCAGACATTCAGTACATTCTATGTTTTGGGTGTCCTTCTCAGCACGACGCAGGGTCGGCTCACAGATTTGGCTTTTGCTTACATTATTTTCACACGGTAATCGGCAGAAACTGAAAGGTAATATCACGCTGCTTTCTGATTTAAAAAGTGTCTAAATTGCATGGTATTTGCTTTCAAGAGCGGTACGGCCCCGTCAGACGTCCTGCGCTCGAAGACCAAATATGTTGAAAGTACAAACTCTTCCAGAGGTCAAGTGACGTCACATACAACGACAGCACTCACGTCATATGTGGCCACCGTCTCGGGCAGGGGCGGCACGGGGTCCAGCCGCTGCAGCTCCTCGAGCTCGCGCACTTTGCTTCGTCCCCGCTCCGCGCAGGCCTGCAAAACGTGGAGACGTGAAATCAGGCCGCGCACTTGCTTTCTTCCAATAGTTACAAACTTGCAAGGTCTTCTGAGTTGGACCGGTTGTTGCAAGAAGCGGAGCGCTCTGCGAGAAGCCATGTGGCCCGACCTTTCGCCATCGTTGTTGCGAGGTCGAAGAGAGGATGATAAAGTAATCAACCAGGTTCGACTCGGTTTGGTCCGCTAGGCAATACCCCTCGCACGCGGTCACCTCCATCTGGCAGCGCCATTCAAGGTACGAAACCAGGAAATCAATCATCGTTTTTTTTCGTCAATAAGAAAGTCCAACTAGCAAAAAGCAGGTCTAGACTTACTGGTCCCACTTTTCCACTAGGCCATATCCCTCGCACGCGGTTGACTGGCAGCGCCAGCCGGAGATGCATCCAAACAACCAGCCAGTTGTCTACGTCCATTTACCCTCCTGATCAGAAACAAGCGGGTATGTAAGCGGTAGGCTAGACCCACCTTGGCCTTGTCCCGGTATTCCGCCAGGCAATACCCCTCGCACGCGGTCAGGTACAGCTGGCAGCGCCACTCGAGGTGCCGCGGCGCGCACAGCGCGACCTGCGACTCCATGGCCGCGATCGCGGATACCACGAACTCGAGCGTTTCCGACGCAAGCGACGCGGCCATTAGGGGCTGAACCGACGACCAGATGTGGACCGTGCCTGGAAAACAGAAAATGGGGAGAGTGAGCGTCTCAAACCTCTATCCGTGTGGATGTCGTCTGACTAGAATGACTCACAAAAGGCGGAGGGAAGGGACTTGAGTGAGAATCTGATCGAGGACATGAAGCCGCCAACCCTACGAGAGCCCCCTAAAGGAAATCTGCATATTGTCTCGCTTCAGGGCTTGAGTCTCCACTTAAGAAAGCTCATTGTCGCAACGATCAGAATTTGGCATTAATGTCTATCGGCTTTAACTGGAATAGCTTCCAATGAGGAAGACGGGGCAACGGGAATTGGGTGCGCCTTGAAGAGGCCAAGATGAGAAATCTTCGAGCGAGTCTACCTGGATTATAGCCAGAAGTTCTTCCTTATTTTCCAAGCAGGTTTGAAGAGCGCACACCTTCCGACAGATGCAAGTCAGGGACGAACGGATTTAAAACATGTCAGTTACAAAGAGCGCGCGTGCTCACTCTGCAATGTTATTCTCACGTCAGTTTCCTTAAAGAAAGCAGAACATGCCAAAGTCGAAAGCAAAAAGGTATTTGCACCATTTAGCGCCAGCCAGTAGAGCTCCTCATGCTCCAAAAGCGAGTCCCCCAGCGCTGCTTTCATTTCTCCCAGCGCAGTCAGTGCCCCCTTCAGGGTTTTGGGGTTTTGGAACGTCGGGTCCCCGCACCGAAGCTCCTGAAAACTGCATAGCGCCGCCCCGTAGCGCGCCTGAACGTTGCAGGTGAGCAGCGGAAGCTGAGCGGGGTTGGCGGGTTTGAGAATGGAAGTCCTGCGGGCGACGGGGAGGAAACAGGAGTGTCGGGCCAGATGGAATGCCTGCAGAAGGGGAGGCCGGAACATTTTTGAATCTTTCGAAGCTTTCGAATTTTGAGGAGGAGAGGTGCCAATACCAAGTCACATGTGGCCCCTGCGGTAGAATTCAGTTTGTGTCAACTCAACAAGCCTCAACTTCAAAGGCTGCCCTCTTAAGCTCCTAGCAACAGAAAACCACCACCGTAACCTTGTGGCAGTGCGCTGTTGCCTGCAGCCTCATCCACAACTTTTGCAGCCCCTTGCTGCTGTGTCTATTCGTCAGCCAGGCTGTCTTCATTAATGCACCTCAACTGTGGGGCTTCCATAGAAGACAAACTACGAGAGTTGGGGTGGCGTTGAGACCTGACAGTTTACCTCTCGTTTGAAGAGAAGGTCGCCCAATTGAAGCAGCCGGGGCGCAAAAACAGGGACTGACAGCTTGGGGGTGAAGTGTTCAAGTAGCTCGGCCAGCTTCCGTGCAACGGGGTTTGGGAACCTGTCACCAGAAGCAATCCACATTCTTTTTCCCTTGAGTAAGCATAGCATGACGGCGCAAGTCAGAACTCAATTTAATTTCACTGATGCTCTTTTGTGACATGAAAGGCACTGGGATCAATAGAATCTTCCAATACATGCTCATAGCTAGAGGTCTGATAGAAAGCTGAAAGAGAGCTCATATGCCTCGCCAGCATGTTTCGACAATCTCCATGAAAAGCAGTTCTCCTTGATGAAGGTGGTGACACGAGCAGGTGCTGCAAAGAGGACCAGCTCTTTGCAACGCTGCAGAGAACTTTATCAAGGAGAGAAAAGGCTCCTCCCAAACCAGAATGTTGATACTCTAGTCTTACCTAGCTCCCAGCGGTGCCCCTTTCAGTACTTTGCTGAACTCGAGGTTGAATGCAGCAAGAACCGCTGCCTCCCCCATCTTTGCGATCGCCGAACAGCAGCTCTCTCAGCTCATATGCATCCCAATATTGATACACACAGTGCCACTACAACAACCTTACTACGTTGGTGTCAGCACCTTCGAGGCACATTGAGGGCAGGTTGCAAGAAAAAAAGAGCTCAGAAGGGGCAAAACTTGAGGTTTGATACATCAGATCATCTACATACACAGATGCTAGCGCTGTCGGCTTGCGCTTGCATCAACAAGCTAGCTTCTGAAGCGTACAATTTCAAGCATTTCCTCCATCTCAAGCACCTCGTAAACCCTAATCTCGAGCAGAAATTTCTGAAACCGTCGATGAAGGTAGCACTCTTGTAGATCGGTAGATCGCACGGCTGAGAAAGCTCTGGTTGCCACTCGCGCACAGGTTTACCTCAAATTCAAAGGAAGCAGTTGTCCAAACTGTGCAACATATGCAATTGCCCTGAACGAAGCACAAATCGGAAGGCTGAAGCCTGAAGGCTGAAGCGCAGCCCAAATCTTTCCCAGGAAACATGTATTTTGAGAGCCTGGGGTTCAATGGCAGGAGCGCTACGAGCTTATGAGCTCAGCAACTCCAAGGGCTTTGTTTCTGTCGACGTCAGTTGGCGCGCTAGGCGATGCGAAAGAGCCGGAAAGTGAACGAGGTAACGGAAGGACTGGATTGGGACTTTCAAAACAATTTGAAAGAAGTGCAATTAACAGCTATCTTTTCAAGCTCTTTAGCAGAACTAGTAGCATGCGTAGAACTAAGCACCTGACCTGTGCCGTGAAAGAACTCAGGCTGAGCCATGGGTGCCATGCGGCACTTTCTGAGCTGGCTTAGCTGGAACAGGCAAACACCAGATCCGTCTGCTGGAGCCTTGAAGAGGAGCGGATCCGAGCTCTCATTCCTCACTGCAAATGACACCGAAGAGCAACATGAAGATGGTCAAGGATTTGGTGGCCGAGCTCTGGTGTCAAAGGCCGGGGAAGAGAGTGACGACACTGTGCCTGAGATCACGCCTCTCCCATGGTGAGCAGCTCTGCATAATATTGAGGCAGATTGCTACAGGAGCGGAAGAAGTGGATCTATAAATGCAGTTTAATTACGATCGCCAAGCACAGTCAAAATGCAGCTTCGAAGATTACCAAAAAACCTTGGCACCTTGTTACCAAAAGTTGATTGAGATAGGGAGTTGAATGGCCGGAGGGAAATCTTCTCAGATGTGATCCAGTGTGCCGGCCTCTGGTGGTGGTCAAGACAAAATGAAAGTCTGCAGTCCAAACGACTGGCTATCCAGGTGCTTGATACTACCAAAACAATGTGATGCCACTCCTGTTTGCCACCAACTAACTGTAGAATCAGCACCATTTGCGGTATCCAATCTGGGGTATTGATCAATAGTACTGCTGCTGTGCCTTGCTTATCTGCATCTAGACAAACGTGCAAGATATCATCTCACAGTATCAGCTCTGAGGCACGTTAACGTGATGCAGGCGGTCCGTGATCACGATCGGACTTAGCATGGGCAGCCAAGCATTCCAGACCACCATGCTTTTCCCAATGGTGAGCTTTTATGCAGTGTGTGGGCTTCCTTTTCTGGTGAAACCGAAGAATAAATTGGTAGAAGCTTGGCCTCATGAGCATCCGGTGATGTGTATTATATTCCAAAGCTAGAAGTAAGGTGGTGCTTTTTGAGACTTTCACATGCATTTGAAAAAGCTTGATACCGAGTGAAGAAAATAACGACCGTCTCTCCTAGAACCGAGCTAACTAAGTCGGAGCTTCAAAGGCAACCAAATCAAGCAAAGCTGAAGGTAACCCCCAGTCCATGCACGTTGCCACTCGAGTTGCCTCCTTGCTTCGTGATCCCCACACTTCATCAGAAGAATGTCGTTTCGTCACATTGCCGTATCTGACTTATTGTAGGCAGAACAGAAAGCCTGAGCTGCTATTTCTGTGTCTTGCAGCTCGTCTTCATGGTAGATGACTACGGCATCGCAGGGGAAAACGAGGACCTGGTCGGACAATACGCAGGCATATTGGTACGTTTTCTCGACCTGAGATGTCTTCATTTCTGTGTAGTACCCTGCTTCACTTTCTCTGTTGGTTCTACATACGTACGTCTCTTTACAGTGCCACTGACCCTACCAGTGCTTTCAAAAAAATCAGCGTTCCTTCGGCTTTTGCCTCGTTTCTTGCTTGCGGAGTGACGTGCTTTTTCACTCAACTACTTTCGACAAGACCTCCAGGTGTTAGACAATCCAAAGATGAAAAGGCCAATTTTGCCTGACTGAGACGAGGTCTCAAAAACACCCATCTTGACAAACATTCCACAACCGAGTCACGGAGTCGTGTTTCGCCCTCTTAGCTTGCGTATTTGACCCCTCTCCAGTCAGGCCTCTGCTTCTCGTCGATCTCAAAAGACCTTCCATTAAGAACCGGAGGGCGCCGTGAGGAGGAGGGCGTCTACGTACATACCATGCCGTCTCCTCATATGACTCACCAACAGTTTCATTAGCCAGCTACGCCACGCTCTACTCAGCTTACCTTGCCCAACCGGCCGCCCATTTCCGCAGGCCTCGTGCTTCCCGTTCGCCCAGTTCATGTCCTCCTATTTGTGGGGCGTCACTTCGGACCGCATCGGACGGCGCCCCGTCATCGTCTTCGGCAACGTGGCGGCAGCGGCCGCGGCGCTTTTGCTCGGGTTCAGCCGACACTTTCTCTTGGCTTGTGTGGCCCGGTTGCTGGGGGGTCTCCTAAACGGGACGCTCGGGTCACTGCGCACGTCTCTAGGGGAGTTGTGCGACAGGTACGTAACGGTCGAGTCCGTACTCAACCGGGCCTTTCTGCGTTTCCCTGTTCCTACGTTTCTTCTTGCTTGGATTCAGCCGAATTTTTCTTCTGACGTGTGTCGCCCGGTTGTTAGGGGGTCTCCTAAACGGGACGCTCGGATTGCTGCGCACGTCTTTGGGGGAGCTGTGCGACAGGTAGGTATCGCTCGAGTCGCGTTCCCGACTGGGCGTTTCTCCTTTCCTTCGTTTCTCTTTGCTTAGAAAGCAACCGGCACATACATCGAGCTTGTGTCGTTCCGTTGGGCCCTTCTGAACGGAATGCTAGAACCGCTGTGCACGTCTCTGCGGCAGGTGTGCGACAGGTAGGGACTTGAGTGATAGGCGTTCCTTTCCTTTTTCCGTTTCTCTTTGGCTTGGGTTCAGCCGCGACTTCGTCTAGCCTATGTTGTTCGGTTGCGAGATGCTTTCTGAACGAAAAGCTTAGGTCGCTGCGCAGGTCTTTGCGGAAGGCGACAGGTAATAAGAATAAAAGTGGCATTCTCAGCCGGGTAGCTTCTCCCGAACGCCGTTGGCCCGAATGATGATCATGAGCGGTGCCCTGTGAGTCCCCCGACCGGGCGGCACACCTCGAGGACTTCCGAAAAGCTCTACAGGTTTACAATATCAAGTCCGCACTTTCTTCAACATAGCACGATTCGAAGCTCAGAGTCATTGAGCTTCAGCAAAAATCTCGACCGGACGCCCACGTAATGACCTCGTGACACCGTACAGTGCTTTTCTCTCTGCAGTACAAACCAGGCCAGTGGGTTTGCCATCTTCCAGCTCGCCTGGGGCCTGGGTTCCATCATTGGCCCGGTCGTGGGCGGACTGTTCGCCCGCCCATGCGACACGTGGAACCTGGGTGACACGTGTCCAACTCTCCTTCGTCGATACCCATACCTGCTCCCCTGCGCACTGGGCAGCGCGGTCTCCTTATTCGCCAGCGCAATGAGCGCTTACTTTTTAGAAGAAACGCTACACCGGATTAAGCCAACCCCGCGCCGGTTAAGGAAGGCCGGTTATGAACAGATTGGCGAGGTCGAGCTGGAAGGAGTCTCTAAGGGTGCCGCGCAGGGAGATCTGCTGGAGGGGTCGTCTAGAGGGAAGAAGCTGCAGCCGGAGGTTATTCACATGGGTCCGGAACACTCCCGCCACGGGGGTAGTGTGAACGGGGGAACGGCCTTTGCGCAGCTGATGCAAATGCGCGCGCAGTCTATCACTGCTAAAGCGTCTCGAACGCCTTCTGTAACCTCCAAGGGAGCTCTGCCGCTGTCCAAGCAGCAGGAACCCTCTAGAGATCCTCCGAACATCACGGAGCCGTCTGCGGAAGCGCGAAGAACGTCTAGGTTTTCCCCAGAGCTTCTGGAGCCTAGCCAAACCACACCGGGCGCTTTTATGCACGGAGCGTCTCTGGACGGTATAAAACGGCGAGCGGAGCTGACAAAAGGCGATGCAGAGGGGACGGTAGGTTTCAGTAGCGGGTCTGTTCATGGGGCGTCTGCTTATGGCAGCATAACACGGAGGATATCAAGTGGCGACAGGCGGCAGTCAGGTAAGGAGCTATCATGTTGCATTGTTAGACGTACAGTTTACTTGATTTACGGACGGACATTTAAAGTAAGAAAAGGAGGCCCTCAATCAATATCGCCCCTAAAAGAGGCCTACGCTTCCTGTTATGAAGCATGAAATCAAACGGGGTTGAAGCTTCCCCTCACTCCGAATCGACCTTCTTGTTGCTTCGACATTGTTTTTATGCCTGTCAGCAACCTGAACGATTGCATCACAATCATATGGTGTAGTCGTCAAGCTCGACACCGCGAAGCAAAATTGTCCGTTGGTTCTCCCAGGTCTCTCGAAATCTCTTCCGACCTCTGAAGAACGGCCGATGCAGTCTCTGACCGGGGAGCCACCTAAGCAAGTCGCCGGATACCAGGTGCTCGGGAGGGCTGACGACGGCGACCAGGCTGACCGGGCGGGGGCTGCCCCGGGCGCCGGAAAGCGGGCGTGGTGGAAAGACCGGGACGTGTTGGTGGCTTGCGGGTCGTATGGGATGCTCGCGCTTGTGTTCATCATCTTGGGTGAGGCTCTGCGGCTGGAAGTAACCCAAATTGCTAACAAACGATATCTTCGCTTAACCTAGGTTCAGCAATATCGAGTGAGTACACAGACCTGATCCAGAATCTGACCCAAACCGCTATCTGAGCAGAGCAGGGGCAGCCGTTACATATGGTTTGGGCCCTCCGTGAGGCCTGTTGTTAGTCCTGTACCAATCCTGAGGTCGATGCCTGCACCACACCGAGTTGACCGAGATCAGAAAGGAGTCTCGGCGATCAGTTGCTGTGGACTCTTTGTTTCCCTGCTCGAACAGGGCACCTCATCGCAATCTGCGCCGTTTCTCGTTCCAACATCACTGTCAGACTTCAACACTTGCAAATACATTCATACCGATGACTAAATCCAGAAGTAGCCGCAGGTTTACATATGTCCATCTTCAAACAGTAAGTAGATCGCTGTCGAATAGACCGTCCCCCAGACGTGTTTTTCTGGCGACGCGCTGTCGGTAACCTGCGACGAGAGTGTCGCCACAGCACGGGACCCTTCAAAGAAACCCCCTCAAACATTGGTCCTTGGGCGAAGCGATGTTTCGACACCCCTTGCATCTGAACCGCCCTTCTGCTGCAGACGAATTTTTGCCCATATTCGCGGCGACACCATTAGCCCTGGGGGGGCTCGGTCTTAGCTCGGAGGCCATTGGGACGACCGTCAGCGTGGGGGGCGTCACGATGTTCCTGTTCACCATGTTCGTCTTTGCGCCGCTAAGCAAGCGGTAAGGGTGCGTGTCGACCGAAGTGCTGCGGAAAGCTGTCCAGATCTTTTAGCCAATCAGATGGCTTGCCGTGTCCACGTGGTCAACCAAGGTACATACCAGACAAGCAGCATGTCCAGAAATGTACCGTACCTCTTACCTGTCGGTACTGCAAAGGCAACACTGGAGGTCAAGAAGGCTTTCGGTCGACGCGCATCCTAAGCTGCCGGCTGACACGAATGAAAGGCCCTCAAAACGGCAGATCCTAGTGGGGACTTTCTTTGAAACTTTGCTATCCTTGTCTTGCTCCAATACAAATTGCACTTTCGATGCTCTGCTTTTCCGGGCGCTGCAGTCGCGGGACCTTTAAAAAATGATACAGCTAGTACCTTTGATCAGTACTTCAAGCGCCTGATGGTCTAAGAGTGGAGAGATTGCTTCCTTGTTCAGAGGATGCCTGTCGTGCCCTCCTGCTTCCCGCGGCATGCCTCGTCACTTCCTAACAGGCTCGCCTGGAATCTGAAAAGAACCAGTCATACCAGTCTCACAAAGGCCTCAAACCATGCTTCCGTGCGCGCAGGTTTGGGCCGATATTGTGTTACCGGTACGGCACGCTGGTCATGGTCCCGATCTGCCTCATCTCGCCTGCCATGTCACTGCTCGTCCGGGAAACGTTTGCGCGCTACCTCGGACTGATGGCCATTCTCGTTGTCCGAAACATCGCCAGCACGACGGCCTTCACCGGCGTGCTGCTGATCGTTTCCAACTCGTCGCCTCCGGAAGATGCGGGCAAGGTAAGATTCCAAGGGGAGGGCGCTAATCTATCATGAGCATCGATCTAATGATCTTCTCAACGGATCCTCAGCGTGTTAAGCCTAGTGATCCGCTTTCTTGATCTTGCCTCGGGAACTCAGCTCTGTGTGGGCTCAACCGAAGCATGAAACTTCCTGCGTTTAATGACGGCCGTCGGACTCACTCCACAGTTCTTGAGGAAGTCAAAGAAAGCCAAAGGGATCCCTGCGGAACAGCCGTTGTTACAGATCACCCACAGGACACGTCGCGTCCCTTGAATAAAACCTCGTATCAAACGCACTTTGCTAACTTCCCTCGTTGCTCTTCTTTCTCAAGGTGAACGGACTCGGCCAAACGACGGCCAGCTTTGCGCGCGCGCTGGGCCCCGCTTTCGGCGGCAGCCTCTGGTCCTTCTCCGAGACGCTACGATTCCCGTACCACCAGTTTTTGGCGTTCGTGCTGACGGCAATCTTCGCCATGCTGACGTACGTCTCCAGCCTGGTTCTGTCAGAGCAGCTGAATGTGCCTCGGGCGGAACGGAACCGGAAGCGAGCGGGGCAGAAGATCGTGCGCTAGGAGTGGATTCTTGTAGTGTCTGTCGCAGTGAGAGCTTCATGACTTGAGACTCCGCCTATCCACTGGGTCGGCTCCTGTCTCAATTAGTATTGCCATTTACGAAACGGCCAGGCGGGTCGTCTTTTGACGCAAAGACTCAAGACTTCAGATGTGTTGTCAAGGGTCGATGAAACAGATGGTTATGTAAACATATGAGCTTCTAAGATTGCTTTACTCTGCAACACTGTAGATGTGTAGCTTTGTAGATGTGTAGCTGCGCCTTTGAACCTAGGAATCAGGCCATTGAAAAATTCCAGAGGATTGGCCATGCCGCTCATAGCGAGATGGAACAGTCTAATTAACAAATGATCCGCACGCTTAGATTTGAGACTGGGAGGCCAAACGCTTGCTTTCGACTTCGACGATTCGGCTGCAGACTTCTCGGAACCTGGAGTTTGTTGACAAGTCAACTCCAGATCTGACGCACTGCCGGGAAGCAGAAACGAGTGACTTTGCTTTATTCACATCATAAAGCAAAGCGTAATCTCATGGTGAAATCTGACCGCGGTGGCTTCGAAAGCACCAGATTGCATAGTAAATCGTATATTGGTCGGTGGGCAATATCTGTCGGCTCAGATTGCCAGGCGCGGATTGCTTTTGTGGCAGGAATAGGCCCTCGTTGTGGCTTCTTCTGGATTGATGGTGAAGTTGGCAAGTGCAAACGATTACCAACATTGCCACTGTTTTTCGAATAAGAGTCATTTCAAATCTTGCACGGGCCATGGTGGCTGCATGCTTTACGTCGTCGACGGAGAGTTTGAACATTTACATATTCATCTCGTAGTACCGAAGCTCGGTGACGTTTGCATGTAGCTTCATGGATAGAAATGTAACACGGCGCATGCAGAAGCTGCATGTACAAAGTTTCGTCCTGTGCTTTGCAAGTATAGAACATATAAGGTGCGCTTCGCAGGCAGGACTTTGGCACCCTAAGCGCGCGGCCCGTCCCCAAGCTGCGTACGATCACCATACGATACTACGATCTCACAATGGAGGAAATTAATTCAATATACTCATCTGGCATGAGGACTTAAGGACTCAACTGAACGCCACCCATGCCGTTCTAGTGTACTATAGCTATGCATGACGACAGCGCGGCCCAAACTTCAAAGCACCGGCATGGGGGCGCGGCAACGTAAGGCGGGCCTAGTAGGGGGCGCGCCGCGCCGACAGGCCGACGGTCACCCTGGCGCTCGCGCGCGCGGTCTCCCGAGGGCGCGCCGAGAGTTGGGTTGACAGGTTGGGTTTACATGACAAAACTTGGTTTTGCAGCAGGTGTTTTCCAATTTTAACAAATTAGGGTTCAGAGTTTTGGGGCTTGAAAGCTTGAGCTTAGCCTTGCTGTTGAGCTCTCGAGCCCAACAACAGCATTTTGATTCAGGTTCTGAATAGGGAAAGGCTATGGCGCAGGTTCTCACCACTCAACCGCTGCTGGAAAGACGATGCTTCAGGAAAGCTGCCCTTGGAAGCCCGACGATACAGGAAGCGGGGAGCTTTACAGCATTGCCCACAGTCCCCTGTGCTGCGCGGCAAGGTCAGAGAAGGATGAGTCAGGCGCTTGCCTTTGAAAGTCCAGCAAGGAGACTTGCCATAAGAGAATCAAAGTCGGCGCCGCCCAAGGAGCAGGTGTTGTTGCAAAGGGGCTTTGGTGGAGCTTTGAAGAGTACTGTGCAGGTTCCTCACTTATCCGCATGGGCGCCCCATAGCGGAGGTGGTGTGCAGTGTCTTAGTAAAACTTCTTCCAGCCGCGATTGTTTCACGTGCGTTCTAGATCCTAGCATCCCCTGGCAGCAACCCCCAAATAGGTGGAGAAGACAAGCTCATACTTCAAGCTATCTCCCGTCAACATTTGAAAGAGCCCCAGAGTTTGTGTCCAGCGGCACCAGAAAAATCCAGGCCACACAGTCTCCTGCTTCTAGTGCACCACCCTTCCATCGAACCCGTAAACATGTCAACAAAGCAAATTTATCTGCTGGAAAGGTAGGGAGTTCAGCATCGACTTCCAATCAAATATCACACATAAAAGAAAGCCACCGCAGTCAACCTGTAGGAGCTGGCAAGGGATTGGTGAGATTGAGACATACAAAACGGCTGTTATTGCTGCGACCTTGTGGTTGCACCACTGATTGTCAGGACGGGGAGGCACCAGCTGGGAAGGGGGACTCTACAGCCCAGCCATCTGAGCTCAGCGCTGAGGTCAGCAGCAGTGAAGTCAGCGACAGGGCGGACAAGGAGAAGGGGCTGAGCCTAGGCGTTAAAGCGGCCCTGGGGGCGTTGCGGTTCTATAAAAGTGAGTCTCTTAAGGTACTCCAGTGTGATATTGACGCTTTATGTTGGTTTAAGTGACTACAAAACACGTTCTACCGCACGCCTTCAGGCGGGACTGCAGAGGATAGGGAAGCCAGAAGCTTCACTTCTCAAGCAGGAAGCAGTGGAGCTATTGTGTGCGCCAGATTGCAATAATTTCTTCCCGCAGCTTTCCTGCTGTCAGCTGTCACAAGTTAAGAGACTCTGGTCAGTCATTTTGCCATTTGTATGGGCCCGGTAACATGCGAAGCATCACATCGGGCGTTAGGATCATGACCAATCTTGCAGGTCTGGTTGACAACCAGCTAATTAGTCGCCTTACTAATCCCTCTAGTCCATTCGTTGCCTTAAAGACCCCACAATTTATACTCTCCAAGGGAGTTGCTTGTCAACAGAGGGCCAGGGCTTCTCGACTTCTAACTCTGGTTTTGGTCAGGCGGATGCAATCGAAAGCAGATATCGTAGAGCCAAGTAGTATCGTCAGTTCTGAGGAACTTGACTGCAGATTAGTTGGTTTCTGTCTCTTCAGATTAGGAATCAGTGTTGCGAAAACAGTGATAGATTTGGCAGACTTTCGTGACAAGTCATCTCTGTCAAAAGGAAAACCGAAGTTCGGATTAAGATCAGGCACTCTTGGAATAATCGCTTCGGCTTTGGACTTCAGAGACAATCCTTTTGTGGTTCCCACACGTTCGCTGCGGCGCCTGACCAACACAGCTTTAAAAGCAAACCAGAAGCATTTGTGTCTTACCATCCTTCCAGAATACTTGGGGACGGATGTGAGAGGAATAGATTCCGTCAACGTCTTGCTTTCATCTGGCGGCTGCTTCAGTAACCAAGCCCCATGTTCTCCTCGCTTGATGCTTCGTGGAGTTATGAGGCCTTTGTTCTCCAGTCTATATGCAGCTAACAAGCTGTTCCGCTTTGCAGGAGAGATATCGCCGTGGCTTCCGGGGAGCTGCCGGTATCAGCCGACCTGCTCGCAGTACGCTGTTCAGGTGGGCTTCTTATGAGCTCGTGGACTCACCAGGGTACATAGTCTTCTCTTTGGTAAGAAGACTTCGACTTTGTCAAGAGGTTGGATCGACAGAGCAGGGCTTGGAAAGAAAGTCACGTGCTGCTTGACTTCTCTTTGCACCGTACTTCTGAACCAGAGTAAGAGGTTTGTCCTCACGTGAGCAGGACACTAAAGGCCCTTAGCTTCTGCACTTCCAAGGTTTTGATGTCCAAGTTTTCAAGCCATTCGACTTACATTAAACCTTGCTGCGAATTCGTCGCTGTCAGCTGCCTCAATTTTGGCATCAACTGAGAGCCCGCAAAAGATTACGAGACTCGTTGGTTTCAAATGAAACTTGAAAAGCGGGCCTATTTGTTGGGCGACGCCATCCCTCAGATGGATTCCCTTGCCTTTTCTCTTCCTCACGTTGATTATTTGCCTTTGGCAGGCTTACACGAAGTTCGGGTTCGTTAAAGGGAGCATCCTAACGGCGTGGCGGCTGATACGATGCAACCCTTTAGGTGGGGTGATTTGGCATTGTCTGGCGTCCTCCGCTGTCTGCTCGGTATTGGCTTTCTTCGAAAGTCTGGCCTGATCCGGATCAAGTAGAGCGCAGCATGTGTAAACCTATCCTTTACGATTCTGGTTGCCATTTGTGCAATTTGCTTCTGAAGTCTGTCGTCGCTTTTGCTCACGAGTCTGTTGCGCTGCTCATATTTGGAGGGGAACGGAGTTAAGCACAGGATTGGTATCCTTTGTGTTACCATGCATACGCCCTCATCCAAGGACGTTTCTGGTCGCTTGGCTTCGCTTGAGGTGCTCTAGTCCACGACCAAAAGTCTCTACTGGATCTGCCCGCAGGTACCTCTGGTTATGATCCCCCTCGGTGGCCGCCCTCCGACTGCCAGCCGATTGATTGAGAATTTCTTCGTGGAGTTTAGCAGTGGCACGTGCGATTTGGTCACCTTGAACTGGACTGTGGCCGAAGGGTTGAAAGGACCCAGTTGATCGGATCTGAAAGCGACGGAGAGCCGTTCGATATCTCCTTAGAATAAATCATTCTTTGTTCCGAGGGTGAATTGCGCCATCAAGCCGTATACATAGGCCCTCAAGTTTCTTTTGGCGCCAACTCGCGGCTGCCTGCGTGTAGGATGCCAGGTCCTCCCTAGCCCGATTTAGGGCAGTTCCGGCACGCCTTGGTGAACGAGATTGTGGTATTCTGCTACTATGCAGAGTCTTCACGAGTAGTCAAAACCTGATCGCAAGGAACAGCCGCTTAAAATGTCGCAGGGACTTGCAGTCAAGATGGTCTTAATTCCCGCGTCGTGTAACACTCAGTGAGGGCGGCCGGTCAGAAAGATGTTGCAGAAGCATCCGACATGCTCTAGCAAATCCCTTGAGTCGTCATCAATCATCATTGTATCGGAATGAACAGTACTGACATGCATGGCTTCCAGCCTGGCAGGCTTGACGTCACCTGTAATGCAACGCACTACATATTTAGCAGCTCCTAAGTAGGTCCGGTTTCTACCAACCTAATCCTGAAAGGTCTGATCGCCGGAACACTCTCATTCTTGTACGTACGTGCTACATTCACGTACAAGACTGCATGAATGATCTCAGTCTACGTACCGTAGTAAAGTGTGTCGAAAGAAGCATAATGTTGCGGTCACCGCGCTTTTACCGGGTTAAAGCGCCGGCATACTTGAAGCGCTTCGATTTTCTGCCGACTATAGAATTAATTGGTCACCAACTGCAGTTTACATATCAAAGATCAACTGAAATGTCTCCGATGGCGGCCATGCAAGCACCGCCGCGCCCGTTAATCATAAGGAAGTTTGACGTTATAAGGGTAATTTGAAAGGGTGACTCGATCATCATGGACTAATCAAGACTGTTCATTCAGCTGACATCTCGATTGGGGATCCCTTTCTTACACATCCGACACGTGGTGAACGTACCACCCGCGCAGGTTCAAACTTCAGATCTGCGCCATGCTTATGTGACTTCATCTGATGAGATCCAAACCGTTCGATTGGATTCCGTGGGATGCTTCCGAATCCATACCCCTAAAGCATTCAGGCTCCATGCACTTCGCTCTTTCAATGAGTCACAAGTTACGGTACCATCCGCATCCATCTGTGACACTGCACTGACCGAAAAAGTACACTTTACAGCGATCCTACCCGAGAGCACAGCACGACAGCCTCGCAGCGCTTTGCCAGCTCTTCCGATTGGCGTTGTTCAAGCCAAAAGACAGTTTCATCCCAAGGGCGTCAGACGTTCTCGGCAAGCCTGCGCTGCATTTGGTAACCACAACACTCTACTCTAGAGAACTAGAGCAGCCTAGTCGTGGCCTCGGTTAACGTCTAGGTGGCGCGTCGTGGAGAAACGATTGGCAAATTCAGTCATCTCCTGGTAGCGACCGTCCTTCCAAGGTCACCCACGTCTCTTTAATCAGGCAGTAACTGCTTGTGGAATCATGAAGGTCCCGGTCTTTGTCACCTGTGATCTGACAGACTATTCTGAACTCAACAAGCACTCGCTCCTTCATTGTGGAGATCTCTGATCCCGTAGAATTTTCCCGTGGTGAGGCAATCTTGGCAGAAGTGCAAAGCAAGGTGACCTGGCTGAAGGACTACTTTTGCTGCTACTATCGCGACTTCGGAAAAAAGGCAGGGTGGACGCCTTTGGACGTCAACCATTCAGTTTATCCGTCGGGCCAGTTCTTCATTCAGGCGGTTATTGGCCCCATGGATGGTGAGTTGCACTCCTTACCTTCGTTCGTTTCAGGCTCAATACGCACGGTCTGAGTAGAACGTTGCACCACTCAACAACGTCCATAATGCTGGTCACAAAACTTGCAGGTTTGCACCAGTCTGGTCACATACCGTCTTGCGGCTTGCCCGCTGATCATTATCATGCTACGTCCAGTCATGCAAGGTAAGATAACCTTGCTTCGGAAGAAGCAGAGCAGCAGAAGCAACGCCACCAAGAGTATCGCACAATCTCTCAGGAAGGTGATGTATCAGGTGCCATGCTGTGGTTTTTGAAGTCCTTGATCATGGATTCGACAGGGGTGCTGTTCTCATGAGAGCCAGATTTGTTTTTTGAATCAGGGACGAATGTCAATCACGCTGATATTGAGCCAGATTGAGCCACTTCAAAGCAAGCTGGCCGAAGACACGCATAGAGTGAAGGTGTCTGGTGGTGTGTAGGAGCGTTTGCAAAGAGGACTCATGTCGTCCTTTGCATTTCTCTTTACAGCTGATCGGATCGGCCTCATCTACATCGGACCTGATGTCTGCTGGGACAGCATCCCGACTGCGAGTGTGCCCCTCTCATCTGCTTATCGGGCCTCTGCGCTACGAAGGGAGCTATAAGAGCACCGTTCCAAATGCCCAGCACTACAGCTGGGAGTTCTACCGCAGAAAAGGGCACGAGCAGGAGCTGCGTCAAATCGAGACGTCCCCCTTCAGCAGCAGAGTGGTGTACATCAAAGCAACTCCCTAATACCCCACTTGTGAGGAACCATCTGCTGGCTCCACTTCATACTTTTTCTAAACTTCACTACCTGTAGTTACAACAGCAGACGAGAGTCTGGTACGTTCTTTCATCAGCCTGAATTTTACGTAGAGTTGCCCTGGCCAAAACCATTGATGTCACTTGAGCTGTCCTAAGATTTCTGTCCTTCAAGAGGACACTCTATGTTCGCTGTCAAGAGACAGTCTGCAGACAAGTGATGTGCTGCTGCCGCGTCGAAATAGATTCTGGGTGGACAACACTGATCCATATATCGGTGACAAACGATAACGCCTCCCAATCAACATCACTTTGGTCGAGCTGCCAGTTTTCCAGCATTTTACTCACCATTCTCTGTAGGTCTGCCTGCCCTACCTGTGTCCAATGGTGAGGAGAAGGGCACGAGCTGCAAAGACGGTCAGAAGCTCAAGGGAGGCAACTCGAGACAGGTAAGCAACTCAGAATGGGTCTTAGCCTATCCCGACAGCTCCAAGGGCCCTCCTCAGGATGGAAAACTTTCCTGAATTCGGCAGATCTTCTCTCCAAACTTGTCGAAAGATTTGGTCTCGTTGCAATTTGTTTAAAGGCTAGTAAAATCAATTGGCCCGTCCATTGCTGAGACTCCCAAAGCGTGAACTTTGCTTTATTGGTTTGACGAGCTTTGAGGATTCGAGACGTGTTCGCTGTAAACATGCGTTGAGGTTCGATCCTGCCTGGGCGGCTTTACACCCCAAAGTATATTGTTAGGTTTGTATTTGCCGTCTTGGAGGCCGAGCGAATCTGTAAGTTCCAATCTGAACACATCAAGGTTTCCGACAAAACCCCTTCCGAGTGAGCATCTTTAGGCTTCCCCGTTTCGTACGTCCAATCGTTGTCGCGTACTCTCCACTTCGTCACCGTGAAGCTGATCCCTTCTATCGGGGTGAGAGCAAGTGATACGTCTGTCTTGCAGCCCGCTTTACCGCGAGTAGAATCTCAACGACTCTGATCCAAAGCTGTTGCTTTAGGCTGCTGAAAACTTTCTGCCGCCGTCTGTGTCACCGTTGGACGTCCCGTGCATTCAAGCTTTACCGCCTTCAGCTTCTCAAAAGGGTGCCTGGCACAAGAAGGAACCGAGAAACTTGAAAACACTGGTATCATCAATCAGCAATGAGTTTGTGGCTCACAACAAGAGTCGCGCTCCATGTTCTACACTTTCCATCCCGACACGTATTATCAAGGATCGATGGTTTCGCTGACTTCGATGAAATCATGCGTGCTTAATGCTCCTTCTTCTCCTCCTTTGCAGCACTGGCAACGTGGCGATACGGGAGGTATCCTTGAAACATTGGTGCAACCACTTTTGTCGCAGTCCTGCTGAAGTAACTCTGGAAACGGCAGTCATTATGTGAGCAGCGTTTGTTATTCTTGAATGATTGCTGCAGAAGGTTTGCAATTAAACCGAGCAGATGATCAGAAGAAGCTCTCGTTTGCATGTTTCCAATGATCCAGCGAGTCGCCCTCACGCCTCAGTTGGAAATTAGGCAGCCTGTTGTACGAGATCTTGTGAAGTGCAATTTGACTGCTCTTAGAATCTTATTCAACATCAGGTTGGAAGATTGTCCGCATTCTCGTGCAATCTGAGTTCAACTCTGACCCAACTTTTCATATGATCTGCAGGGGCCGCTTCTACTCCCATGTCTCTGCATCAGTTCCTCGTCGACAACGACCAGTCTATAGTGACAGAGACGTCACGAGGGTGCTTTCAAGTAACGCTAGCTTGCATCAAGAATGAGGCTTGTCGACAAAGCTGGTTCATCAATCCGTTGGATCAAAGTACCTCAGATTGAGTTCGTACCTGCTATAGTGGACATGAGGACAAACTTGGTAACTAAGTAGACTATGCAGGATCAAAATGGTCACAGCGACAGATGCTTCACTGCAGGGGTCATCGGGTCCAGCGCTCTATGCCCAGGGTCAATATTGCCGGCAAGCAACACATCGATCAGACTCACACTGGGACCTTTTAGTTGTCAAGAGGTATGCATACGTACCATGACGCTGACTTTGCGCATGCTATATGCCATCAATACACGCCATGTCCTGATGCATTCTGCGTCATGCATAGTTGTTGCTGTTTGCGCACGGGACCCTGAGTGCTTCAGCAGCCTGTAAAGACATGGTATATATGCAAAGGCGCGGGAGCAAAGGCCAAGTTCTATTCGCCCGGAAGCCTCATCGTGTCTGAGATGACCACAACGGACATTGGGTGAAGTAAACAGGTTGACAGATCCGCAGCTAGAACTCTACTTACCACTCGTCATTTCGGTCAAACTTCGAAGGCAAGGATGGTAAGCATTCCCCCTCAAAACCAATCTACAGTAGTCCAGAACCAATCACATTGCTCTCACTTATAGTAGTGCCGCGCTTGGAGAACATTTCGTTTCGCTCTTTGTAGCGCGATAAACAATGAGTTGGGGCTACATATGATACTGAGCAACTAGTAGATACCTACCTTTTGACTCTGTGAGATTTTTCGAGGCAACCCCGGAGACGATAGATAGCTCTTAATGCGGGATTGAATACTGTGGTGCTTGGTTTTGAACCCTACGACTCGACATGTGCACCTGAGGTACGTCATGCGCCGACGGTGATGAGCATAACTAAGAATCCGATCCGGGAATCCGCATAAGGGAGTTGCCATAAAGGCACTAATGTAATTGCAAAGCTGTGCCACTGCAGTCATGATATTGTGCGGCCAAGTTTATGTCTGATGTTGTACAAAATTCAAAACGTTTCCTTTCAAAATTTGAAAGCACTCCGTTCTACTACCTTCTACTCCCACAGACTTGCTATATAGAAGCCTAAGAACGCGCACGCCCTACCCAGTGTCTTGTCCAGGGACTTGCAGAGGTGCGGCTTTACAATTGACACCACCAGCTACAGCACTCACGGGCCGCAGCACAGCCAGCGCCTCTTGAAGCAAGCTGGAGCGACCCGCTTCTCTTGGTCTTTCATGCCTTCCCTTTTGAACGAGTCCAGGAGCAGTCGGCCATCCCGCTGCAGATCGTCCCATTGTAGTGTCTTCTGGACGCTGTCAAGCCACACGATCTCGCCACCGAGGACGTCCAAAGCCGCGCCCCACTCACGGAGTTCGTCGCCATTCAGCGGTGCTGCGTTTGAGGTCAAGCCGGCCGTTGATTCAAGCGCCACCAGTAAGTTCTCTAGCATGGACAAGCAGCTGCCGAAGCCAGTCAGCGGAGGTTGGGTCTCTCGGTTGCCTTCCCCGGGCGCTTTGGCATATGACTGCCAGCTGTGCTTTGTGCCCGGTGACGCATCAATCAGGAGGGCCAGCTGGTCAAGGTCCCGAGCAAACCGCCACACACCTTCTAGGTCCTCTGTTGAAAATAGAAATCCCAAGAGCACCTTCGCGTAGGTTAGTGCCATGTAGTTGGCAAAGTAAGTGGCAATCTCACGAACCCCGCATTTATCCATAGCCACCACCACCTCAATGACAACCTGGAAGCTCTCAGCTCCTTTTGCAACGTCATCGGCGGAAACCAGCTCGCTCCTCGACTTCTTCAGCTGGTCCCTTGCATCGGATACGAGGACTTTTGCATACTTGGGATTTGGATTGTCTGCCCCCAGCATCCGGCACAGCTCAAGGATAGTTTTGGTTGCAAAACCGAGATGCAGCTGGGGCCACCCCTGCTTCATAATCACCTTTCGACGCCACAAGGATTGCGGGTCGATGAAGCGCTTCTGTAAGTCGAACGGCAGGTCACTTAATATGCGCTGGGCTTCCTTTTCCTCCGTTTCCATTGCCAACGCACCAACGACGAGTGGGTGCAGAGACTGGAGTCTCTGAACAAAAGCAGTGAGCTGGCTGGGGCCCGTGCTTGTAAAGGCCTCACCGGTTGACTCAAGCAGGTCCACAAGGCGGCTCAATATCTGATGTGTGGCCGCTCCATCTTCGACCTTGCTTCATCTTGCTTCTACTTTCGTTTTAGGGATAAAGCTGATATCCTATCAACAAAGCAATGACGATCACGTGATTGGCTTATAAGTAAATTCAGTTGCGCACGGTGTTGCGCAGGCGTTGCGCATGAATTATCCGCTAGCTAGTCATTCAGAATGTCAAGGGCGAGCTGAATCCTTAGACAGAAAGAAAAGCTGTTTTCAATCTGATTCTCTGTCAGACGATCTTTGCAATATTCTGCCAGGCTTATCATAGCCGCCAGCGCGGCCGCCGCACGGAGTTACGGTGATGGCCGCCGCGCGCGACAACCGAGTCCACTGCGGAGGGTTGCCAGGGTTTGATATCTCTGGAGCAGGTCCGTCGGCGATTGATGGTCCCATTCTCGACAAATATTTCAGATAAGCGGCGGTTGAGTCACTCTGCCACCAAGTGGAGACTGTGGCCTGGTGTGGCCTGGTATGAC